CGCACCTTGTCCGTAGTCCATTGTATGCATGATTATTTCTAGAGTTGGGCCGTGGGCTTGGTGCAGTCCCAGACATTTCGCCGGCATCATAGTCGGCATCGTCAGTGAGCATTGCCATTCTTAGCGCCACACTAAAACTCGTCAATGCCGTGAGGCAACTCAAATGAAGTAAAACTATCACATTTAGGGGTCGGCACACAAGGGACTAGGACATACGAAAGACGCAGACGTAGACAGACATGGATACAAAAGCGAGACATGCGGCTGAGATGGCTATGAGTAGGTAAGTATGCTCATAGACGGGGTCCGTGAAGTAAAGGCTTAAACACGAGATTTGCCCGATGCACATACCGAAAGGTGATAAAGGAATATGTTGAGTCAAGTTAGTTTTGCATCCGGCTTGAGAATCCAGACTTTGAGGACTTGTGCTTGAGTAAGCACAACAATTATGAAAAAAGAGATTCCTCGAAACCCAACTTTTCTTCGTATATATATTTGAGGACTTATTCAGTGAGACTGGCGTATACGTGCTACCAAAGTCTTAAGGCAGAATGTAGAACATGATGCCTCGAGTAGCATGGATATGCTGGCATATCTCAACTATGTTCAGAAATTATGATAGTAAAGAGGTGTTACGAGGGTATATGCAAGGTGAATGCACCAGAACAGAAGGAGAGATACCACAAATGTTTAGCAGAAAATCGGTCTTCTGATGAGTTGTAGTGGGATGCTCTGAATGGCAAGGCTCATTGGCGATGCCGGAAAAGCGCCTGAGAATGTACCAAGCCCACGGTCCAACTATGGAAATTATCTTGCATGCTATTGACTCCGAACAAGATGCGTTCCTCTAGGTCGTCCTGACAGTATGACCAGGTTGTGAAACCGAGATCAAGCAACTTCTATGAAAGAAAAAGAGACCGCGACCATAAGAAGGGTCACACCATCTTGATTTTAATATCTTCGACTATTTAGGTTCTAATATATATATTTTAACCAGAGAATATTTGCTGAGTAAGAGATAATGCCTTTGTGTCATATAGCGTTCTGTCCTTTTTATAGCCTGAATTCCTTTTTGCGCTTAATTTTTGTCAACACTTTAGCCAACCTGGATGGTGACTACAACAAATCGGATGAAGCAGGAAGAGAGTCACTGTTTGACAATGCAGTTATGCTCTTCAAGCTCGATATGGGTATGCAGGAACCAATAATCAAGACTCCTGATTGTCAAAAGCTCAAAATAAAACGCTCAGATGGCAGACAGCGGAGGCCGATAAATTCTGGCGGTACGTGTTTGGCGTCAAAGTAATTTATTCCTCATCGATGAAGTTCTAAGAATATGAAACCTAATGATGGTAGGGTTTAAAAGATGAGTAAAGAGGCATACTTTTCTTGGACTATGATATATACTGACGTTGTTTAAGTCCTGCTTTAAGAACAGGCAATTTTATCGCTTAGATTTATGAATAATTGAGCGAAAAATCATACAAGAAAGCATTTTATCTACTTAGAAGCCTACTATTTTTGCTTTTATTTTAGTTGTTCGCTCAAAACAAAAAGAGAAAGAATTGTCCAATGATCACAAAGTTATGCTGAAGAAGTCAGTCTATATTCCGTCTCATTTGCCCAATGTTGGAACCAGGAAGTACAACACGACTATGGAAGTTGCCGAGTGGAATAAATCAGGAGTCAACAGAAGGTATTCTATCCTTTTTGAGTTAAACCTATATTTTCGAGAATCTCACCTTTCGCAAAGCATTTCCAAGACCTGTTTGCCCATTATAAGTTAACTGGAAGAATTTCGAAGATTTTATGCAGAATGGACCAGACAGGAAATTGCAAGATATTTATAGAAAATCCCCTTAATTCTGCCTCAATAGTGCTCACTTGCCTGTGATGAGGCCATCAGTGGCTCACATGTGGATGTATATGAATATTTCGCTGACTTTATTTTAGTAGAGAGGTCCTTCTGCTAGTACATCTGTAAGGAGTCGGGAGCCAGGTGGACTTCCACTTCCTTGGAGAGATTTAGTTGTTTTGGTTACCGAGTGATAATAAATGACAGATGGATACGACTATTTAGCAAAGACTTCGCAATTGCAATGCCCTCTGAAATATAAGTAAGCTTAGCTCTTCGTCAGTTTAAGTCTGCAGTAAATCAGCGAAGTAAAGCCTTACTCTCCGAATTACATGTGTCAGGTAATGCTTGTTTACATGTTCAAGAACAGTGAATATGAATTGGCTTTTCACTTTGAAGTAAGAGTTGAATGGAAGGAAGCCATGGTTTGGCCATGATGAAAACCGAAGTAGTGTGCCTTGGAGTGTGTGAAGGAATTCTTGGCTCACAATCCTACAACTTCAATGAACTCTTCATGTGGTAGATGAAACTCTAGCACGGAATTATCCAAGTTACAGGACGAAGGGCCGATGACTTCTTCACAAACTCCAATTTTATCCACCAAACTATTACCGGTGAGGCCAATTCATGAATCACTTTGGACCAATTTTGTTAGGGTATCCTTCAAGAACCAGCATTTCTTTATTTTTGCTCAAGAAAATAGTTTATTTTAACCAGATATAATTAAACCAATTGATCTCAACTTTCATGCTTGACTAATCAGCACTTATCGCAAAATGATTTTTGCTTCAAGTAACACAAAAATGGGCTGTCAACAAGCCCCGCGTGATAAGCTCCTGATACTTGCCAGGCATCGAGGAGGCACCTGTCGAGCCGATGTTCTTGAGTGAAATTAGCGCTTATAGAGAGTCATTGGGC